TCTGACTCAGCTGCTATGGAGAACAGTACAGAGACTTCCCAAGAAGTTAAACACAGTTTCCCTTTGACCCAGGGATTCTATGTATTGGCCTCTACCCCAAGAACATATAAGCATCAGTTTTAAGCCGATTCATGTATACCTCTATTCCCTGCAGCATTATTTACAATACCCAAGATTCAGATACAAGCCAAACATCCAATAATAGTTGAATGGATCTCTCTCTGTCTTTCATTCTCTCTCTCTCTCTCTCTCACACACACACATACACACAGAGCTGCTACTAAACTATGACAAAAGATGAAACCTTGTTTTCATCTTTCATAAGGTATCATAGTAAGATAAATAAGAGGTAAAATAACAAATATCAGAAAATCTCACTCACTTTTTAATTCTTACATAATCATATATAATACTGATTATATATGATCTTCTGCCTCTGTGTGCAAAGATTTTTAATTAACATGATATCAATATACTGAGGCATAAACCTATAAGTGGAATGTTGGGATTACAGGATAACTGTGTCTTGAATATTTTGAGGAACTGCTAAACTGTATTGCAAAATAGTGTTACCCTGTCAGTTAATAGCTTGGAGAGATTGTATGAACCTTTAAGTTTTTCTAAATTTCTGTTATCACTTGTTATTCTCTAGCTGTGTGCTATAGTCATCCCACAAAGAGTATTGGTATCTCACTCTGGTTTTGACGTAGCATTTCACGAGTGATTAATGCCCGTGAGCATGACCATGTCTCCATATTCTATTCAAATTACTTGCCTAGATCTTATTGAGAATTCTCTTATTGATGAACTTCTCTATCTTTCACTTTGATATTTTTTTAGTGACAGTAGAATAGAACGTTGGGTTCTGCGTACTTTGATCTGACTTTGAACATAAAACATAACTTTATTGATTTGAATAGTGATAATCTGAACACATTTATTAAGCATTTACTTTGTTTTAGCTGTCGATAATTCCATATTAATGTCTAGCTATAGAGAAAGTAGATGTTTGGTTTACAATTTTTTTCTCTTCAGCTTTCCACAAAATAAGAGAATATTTTCCTTGGGGAATAATCTATATGTAATTTTTTTTCTCCTGAGATAAGGAAATACCCCACTTCCCTGGCTTGTCCAATAGTAAGTTAAAACTTCTATGGTTTAGATATTAAAACAACTTTGTTATGTTACTTAGACCAAGTAATAAAAAGCTTCACACCTGTTTATTTAGGGCAGTGCTCAGGGGATGCACTCAGAGACCCTTAGGGAAGTATGGAGTCAGGATTGGAGTGACCCCCCCCCCACACACACACACAGTGAAGCACACACTAGCCCTCTAGGCTATTCCCCAGGTCCCCAGGAAACTCCATTTTCAACACTCAAGTTTTGTGTTTCCTACAAATAAATCTCTGAGAACTCTTTTCAGCTTGTTCACCTCATTTCTTCCTGTGATAGAAAATGTGAATACTTACCAAACTGACAAAAAAAATTCACAATCACTGAAGACAATTCTGGAAGATAATGTGTACATTTTCTTAAACAATTGCAGAAAAGCTGATTTGTCTAAAGAGTATGGAAAATGATTTAAGAAGCTTCCTCCTTAAAAATACATCAAAAAGAAAGGAAAGGTGACAACAAACATTTGTTTATGTTACCAATGCTCAGTTTATTTATACTTCTTAGGCCCTTAGGCTGACCATACTCCATGCCGGGCTGTGGGGCGGGTGGGAGCCCTCTCCACCCCAAGGGACCCAGCCCCAGCAGCTGACCTCTACTACCCAACCACCACCATACTCCAGGCTGCTTTCCAGACACATTATAAGACACTTCCTACCCATTTTCCACAATTACTACACCATATCTGGTGGGGTTCAGACAGTAGGCAACAAATCATAGCAAGAAATATATACCTCTAGGAGAGCCCACCAAACTACCGAGAGTATCCTGCCCACATGGGCAGAGCCTGACAAGCTTCCCGTGGTGTATTCGATATGCCAAATACAATATCAACAACAGGTCTCATTCCCCTGACCATTAAGCAGCCTCCAATAATTGAGAAAAGACAAGTAAGAAGAGGCTGCTAAAATCTCAGGGCTGGGAGGAATAGAGATGTTATTGGTGCCCGCTCGAGAATTCGGCAATCAATGGGATGACTGTGATACAGGCCCTTAGGCTAAATACTTGCAGCATCACGAATCACGAATCAGGATCATCCTGTTATTCATCGATTGCCTCGAGCAGGCCCCAGTAACGTCTCCTTCATCCTAGCCCTGAGATTATATTCAAGGCTCTTTAGGAGAATGAGACCCATCATTGTTACTGGTATTTGGCATATTGGGTACACTATGGGGAGATTGCCAGACTTCGCCATGTGGGCAGGCTACATTCGGTAGCCTGCCAGTTTGTCCAAAGTAGGAATGAGATAATAAGATGTCATAATAAGATGTCACACCCACCAACTGGCCCCCTGGCGCCATGCAATCCCATCAATGGCCTTGACCCAGAGACTATAAAAACCAGCTCCCGGAAGAGAACAGTGCAGTCTCCTGCCCCTGCGCCTGGCAGCCCTCGCTGGGGCCCCTTGGAGTGGAGCGGGTTGAGCTTTCCTCCCTGCCAGGGCTCCAGCAGCCAAAGACCTCCAGGACCAGCCACCACCATGCTGAGACCACTCTCCGCACACATGAAGGTACTGGCAGAGGGACAAAGTCATGCGGGTCCCGGGGCCGAGATCTCCAAGCCTACTCGGATTGGGGCCGGGCATCCTCAACCCAGATCCTCCAAATTCCAGTAGGAGGGGGTCACACCCACCAACTGGCCCCCCGGCGCCATGTAATCCCATCAACGGCCAAGACCCAGAGACTATAAAAACCAGCTCCCAGAACCGCGCGGCCGCGAATGCAGCACTTGCAGCATATTTATTCCTTTCCTTTTTATATTCTTTTATAGTCTTCCCACTGAAAAAAGTAACAAAGAAAATCAGAGCGTTTGTGGTGATCCAACACCATTCCCAATCTTCCCTTTAGACTATCATGACTTCAGGTTTCAAAACATAGTCCTTTTCTCTCATAGCCAAGTTCCAAAATTTCTGTTAACAAATCAAATAGCCCAAGGGCCCCAATTCTGAAGCAAGAGGTCTGGGATTTTAATGACTCTTCTAACTCTAACCATCAGTGCTTTTAGGGTGGACTCTGGCTGAAACCCCGCAGGTACAGACAGAATAAAGTCTGTTAGATCACACCAAGACAGTCATCAGTTACTCCATTGTCAACTGAGACATTCTGAGTGGGATTTGCCAAGTCTAGCACACTGCTATTTATAGGAATATGCTGATCTGAGGTCAAGCCTCCAAGCTCCAGATATAATTTTTACAAATCAAATTCAAACCTCAAAAATCTTTAATCTCATACCCACCAGGAATTCTCCCTCTGCCTTCATTCTGCACCTTAACCCAGTTCCCTGAGGTGTTCTTGGGAGAATTATCATGCTCTCTGAGAGAATGTGAAATGTGATGTACAGTAACTTCAGAGAGATATAGAAAAAGCACATTGGGCACTGTGGACTGGATTGTGTTCCTTCAAAATTCATACATAGAAACATTAACCTCCAGTATCTCACATATAGCTTTTTTTAAAAAATAGTTTCTCTAAGGGGGTAATTATGTTACTGTGAGACTATTTGGGTATTTTCTAATCCAATTTGGTTGTTGCCTTATAAGGAGAGGAAGGTCTTGTTTGTCTGCTGTTATGGTAGCTATCCTACAAAAAGTGATCATTTTCAAGGGGACTAGGGTCAACTCTCAATCATATATTGCTCAGAGATGTCAGTCAGATGAGAAACCATCAGGGCCACATAGTGCTGGGAATTGAATGCAAAGCCTTCACATGGCAGGTGGCATGTATGTGTTCTGCCACTTGAGCTATTTCCTTGACTCTAAGAAAAAATGTTATACTGAGACACACTAGAAATGCCAGAACACAGGAAAAAGAATGGATGAAAACTCAACTAATTGCTCTCTACTGGCCAAAGGGGGAACGCTAAGAACAAGTCAGGCCTACCCACGTCATCTCAGAAGTTTTTAAAAAAATTTTCATTGGTGAATCACTATGGGGTACAGTTACAGACTTACAAACTTTCGTGCTTGCATTTCAGTCATACAATGGTCGAGTACCTATCCCTCCACCAGTGCCCATTTTCCACCACCAACGGTTTCAGCATCCCTCCCACCTACCCTGTCCCATACCCTTCACCCCATCCTGCCTCTGTGGCAGGGTATTCCCTTTTATTCTCTCTCTCCTTTTGGGTGTTGTGGTTTGCAGTAGAGGTATTAAGTGGCCATTATGTTTGGTCTATAGTCTACTTTCAGCCCCCATCCCATCCTGAACGGGCCCTCCTAGCACCCTTTACTTTGTGGTCCTTTCTCTACCTGAGCTGCCTTTTCCCCCCAGCATGTGAGGATGGCTTCTAAGCTGTGGAGTAATCCTCCTGGTACTTATCTCTACTGTTCTTAGGTGTTAATTTCCCATTCTGTTACTTTATATTCCACAAATGAGTGCAATCTTTCTATGTCTGTCCCTCTCTTTCTGACTCATTTCACTTAACATGATACTTTCTATGATGATCCACTATGCAAATTTCATGACTTCATCTTTTTCTAATGGCTGCATAGTATTCCATCGTGTAGATGTACCAAAGTTTCTTTAACCAGTCATTTGTTTTCGGGCACTTAATTTTTTTTTCCAGATTCTGGCTATTGTAAACAGTGCTGCATTGAACAGAGAAGTGCAGATGTGATTTCTACTATACTTTTTTGCATCTCTGGGATATATTCCCAGAAGTTGTATTGCTTATCTCAGACTTTTAGCCTGAAGGACTGTGAGAAAATTTGATTCTGTTTTTAAAGCCTGTTAGTAACATGATGACTTCCACTGCAGTTGTGCAGATTGATACAGTGAGAGACTCCACAGGAAAAAGGCTCCTGAGTATGCCGAGGACACATTACTCACCCTGTAGTAGTCAGTGCTGTACACATCCCGGGACATGCCAAAGTCCCCAATTTTCACCAGTAGGTTCTCCCCGACCAGGCAGTTCCGGGTGGCCAGGTCTCGGTGTACAAAGTGCTGGGATGCCAGGTAGACCATGCCAGCGGCGATCTGCTGGGCAATGTGCAGCATCTGAGACTGAGTCAGCTCTGTTGGGGGGTTGCCCTCAGCCATGAGCACAGCGTCAGGTCCATGCGCCCTGGAAAGAAGTGAACAACAGAAGTTGCTGTTGAAGTTTGGGTCTCACTTCATGGGTATAGTGATGCCAAAATGTTGTCAGACTAAGACAGAGAATAGAGAGATGCTTTGCCCACAGCTGAACCTTGAAACATGTTGACTTCATTTACAGAGTTTAGAATACCCAGGCCCCATGGGTCTGCATGTTGACCCCCTGAATACACAGACAGGCACATATTTTAGGTGTTCTGGAATATGCTGCAGGTTGTCAAGCATTGGTCAATGTCCCTGGCCCTGAGAAGCTGTTAATGTCTGTTTCTTAAAAAAAAAAGTAATAATAATCCAAAAGCAAACCATGGGGGTGGGGTCGAGTTGGGCTCTCCTAAAGGGACAAGGTATAATGTCATTCCAGCAAGCTAAATGCTCCTCTCAGATCTTGCAGCCCTCCAGAGCTGACACCCTGTTCCCCATGCTCCCCAACCCCCCAATCCCTGGACAGCCCTTTCCCACCTGTTCTTTGACAGTCTGTTTTCCAACCTACTTCTCTATCATTTAAGCTCAATTTAGTCAAAATCTGAGGGCAACCTTCGCCCGGAAATTGCCCCCTGCCTGCTTGACTCCCCTTCTAGGTCCCACCACTTCTAGGTCCCACCACTTCTAGGTCCATGCCACATAGGAGAATGCTTGTGGATCGCCACACATTTATTCCCTTAAGGGGATGATTTTATTCTGTACACATCAGAAGGAATGGTATTGCCCATCACCTTTTCCTTCTAACTATACTCTAGTCTTTTCCCAGCAGTGTGGGGACTTTTGCATCACAGGGGAATATGCTCTTCCTAGAGAGATAAGCATCTCCATCTCCTATAGTACCTGCAGCCAATATGACAGCATGGCTGTGAGTGAGCCTGCTTCTAAAGGCCTGAGACAGAAGCACAGGGCAGGAAGTAAAGGTATTCTTTGCTAGGGACAAGGGACCTCCCAAGACAAATAAGGCAGGCCTCCTTTGGGACACGTTTTAACTGTCTCCATCCCACAGTTTAAATATTTCTACAAAATTTTCTGTTCTTCCTGAGAAAGGGAAGTTAATGATTCTCCAAGACCAAAAATTCTGCCTAGAGCTTAGGTTCACTTGAGATTATGAGATAATGGGCAATACCAGAGTAAATGGTCAACTAGATAACCCAAAATACCTAAACCAGCCCAACCACTCAGTAATATCCTTGTATTCTCTGTAACATTCTTGTCACTTGACAAGTTAACATAAAAACCCAATCTTCCTGTTAAAAAACATAAAATGAGTCAGACTTAATTTAATCCTATATTAAATTCCTCCCCACATGGGGAGTTTCTTTCTCTCCTACTTTTCAGTGAAATTTTCTGTTTAGTAACTCTGAGTCTTAACATCTTTATTACTCAATTTTTTCATTCTTAAAATTATTTAAGAGCCTGGGAACATGGATGAACATGAGATTCACTGTCATTGCTCCTGCATCGCTTCCAGTTCAAAATATTGGATGTAACCATTCCTGGGGAAGAACTTCCTGTGTTCCTCTAAGTCTTAGATCATTTGGTTTCCACTTAACTCAGAGTCTTCAGCCCCTTCCTGTAGCATTCAAGTAATTATACTAGGAAAGTTCTTTTTGGGTGTGGGTGTAGGTATATGTTGGGGGTGAGAGGAAGAGGGAAGTATGTAAACTCAAAATCTCTCAGTGGAGGTATAAAGACTTGCAGTACAGTGACAAAGATCCTGTATCTCAGAACTGAGTTTCCATAGTACCCATGATATCAGCATAGCTCTAGAACTTGGGGTGGGGGTTGCGGGGGTCCTTATTTTATAAAGTGGAGTTTCTATCTGTGACTTCCCTAAGATTTCTGAGATTGTTCTGCACCATGAGTTGTACCTTTTCACAGGAGTCATAGAGAGAGGTCTGCAAACAATGGTCCTCTTCAAACAAGAGAAGGCCAGATGGAAGGCGAGTGGGGAACTCTGGCCTGTGGCGGGACTCTCAGGGACATGCAGTTTTCATGTCAACAAAGTCCATTGAAGCTCAACCTAGTTCATGTCTAGCACTAGGGGAAGGTGAAAATGAGAATGTTTTCAATCATCATGAGACAAAGCTCTTACTGTGCTCTCAGCAGGCGTGGAAGGATACTGAGAAATTCAGAAGTTTTCAGAGACTTAAAGTCAGAAGGAGATCTTCATTGATTTAATTTGGAGTGAATGAAAGAAGCTGTTGACTTGCTGCTGTACAAGACAGCAGATCTCTTCTGAAGGAGTTCTTAAGGGAAAGATACTAAAGCCAACATAACAGTCTTACTTTGTCCTGAAGGACTTGGAAGTTGAAAGCCATTTCACCTCTTCCAGGACCTTCAAAGGGGACAAACTGCCTTTAGCACCCTGGAGTTGGGAGGTGTGATTTTATTTCTTCAATTGTAAAGTGTTAATGATGACACTAACAGCTTAGTTTTATGCAAATTGAAACCTTTGAAATGCCTAGAAATACAATATGTATTAGCTACTATTCATTGAAAAGCCATATCTAGCTTCCCCTCTTTGGAAGAGAATTCTAAAGAGACTATAAGAGTTAAAACTCTAATCTCCTTGAGAACAAGATGTACATTTTAATGCTCACTTCTCACCTAGGCCTTCTCCATGTTGTTATTCAACATATGACTTCTGGGTGAATGAAACAATCAGAAAGACAACCTCTATCCTCATAAATAGTGTTAGATCCCCTTCTAGGGAGAACCACTGCAGTTTACCACACTTAATTGTGCCTAAGAACCTGATTCATGGCAAGAAAAACATCTTGTTCTCTGGGTTCAACTGATTTTGAAATTGGTCATGGGGTTCTAATTGCTCCATGCTGTGTGCAAGGTGCAAGGGAGAATCGGGCACCTACTCTCTCTGAAAGGCAAGGAGAGGTAAAGGTTACATGAGGTGAAAGTAAAAGGAAGAACTCTCTCTCTCTCTCTCTCTCTCTCTCTCACACACACACACACATACTATCAGCTCACAGAAGGATTTATTTACTTCAAAATAAATTTCTTTGGATTCATTAGGGAAGTAGACTACACTATAGGAATCAGGGAAAAATGTTTCTCTTATGAGCATTAGACCTTAACCAAATTCAGCTTCTTTTAGATATGACAAAAAATGTGCAAAAAAATACCATCATCCTTTCTCCTCTCACCTACAAGAAAAATTTTGTTGTCATCAGATAACACATTAGGATAACTGTTTCTGAATACCATAAATTGACTACGCATTCCCAGTCTTGCCAAATTTGTTATTCATACACACAAAGCAGAAAATAGGGACCATTCCAGCAAAGAATAAAATTGGGTATGCATTTATGAGACAGAGAGTGGTAAAAATTATCTAGATGATACAAAATACTTCTCAATAACCTTTCTAAACCTGGCACTATGATCGTCCATTTCCACTGTTCATGCAGTGATAAGACTAACTTGTTACTTAAACGACACAGTTTCAGAATCTTCTAGTGGCTGCAAGAAGCTACTAGGGCTGAACCATTCGGTGTCCAGAGATGCCAGAGGAGAAATGTCTAGATCTTATCATACCACAAAACATGTGACAAAGTCCCTCAACCAAAATAAAGAGGAAAATGTGTTAGAGAAGAAGGTTGTAGGGAGAAATCTATTCCTGACACTAGTCCTTCAGATGGATAAATATTATTCACATCTGCTTTATAGGTGAGGTAACATCAAAGAAATGCAACCATTTTGACTCCAACACTTTCCTGTTTCTCCTAAATGATAATATCTATCAAGATATCAAAGGGAGTGGGATATAGTATTACAGAGGGTAGTACAGAGGGTAAGGTGTTTGCCTTGCACATTTCTGATCCAGGACTGATTCCTGAAATCCCATATAATCCCCTGAGCACCATCAGGAGTGATTCCTGAGTGCAGAGCCAGGAGTAAGTTCTTCACATCACTGGGTGTGACCCCCAAAAAAGATATCACTGAAGTACATATGCTAATATTCCAACAATAAGAGACAATACTATTTCAAAGAAAACAGTTTTAGAGGTAGTTGCAACTTGGAGAGAATCTCCCCATGATGACTGCAGCACTGAGGGTATTGAGGGGAAATGAACTGGAGATCCATGTGAAGGACACAAATTGGTGATGTAGAGCAAGAAGTGTCTATCACCCCAGGCCCTCACAACTGCTCCTGGTCTTTTTTAAACTCTGTTATTTTGTTTTGTTTGGGGGGCCACATCCAGAGGTGCTCAGGGCTTATTCATGGCTCTGTGCTCAGGGATTATTCCTAGTGAGCTCGAGGTCCATGTGGGGTGCTGGGAATTGAAACTGGGTTGGCTGTGTGCAAGGTAGAAAGCTCTGCCCACTTTAATTTACTATTGCTCGGGCCATCGCTCCTTGTCTTAAATGTATGGCTTTTATTTGTCTTTCCTTATTGCAGGTAAAAGCATTCAGGATTTTTTGTCAAGAGGTGCTTGAGTCAGCCGTGCATTCTTACTCTTGATAGCTACAGGACAGGAGGGACATTTACTATGATCCATAGTGGGTGTCCGTGACAACGAACTTCCTCTATCAAATTCAACTCTTCCTGTAATTTCTACAACTGAGGCAGTTAATTTATTAGCAGAAATAATCACTAGAAGCTTCAGTTCATTGAACACTTTGCGTTCACTCCAATGATAAGACATTTCTATATTCAATCTTATTCAGACCTCCCTGCCTTGCTACATCAATATTCAGCTGAACAAACTGAAAGACTTATCTAAGCACACTCAGCTAAGAACTGCCGGAGTCAATATTTCACTTTCTCTTTTTCAAGAGACCAGCAAACTTAGTTTATTTCCTTTGATTCATTCTCTCCTGAAAGGCTCTGCTATAATCTCTTTTATATGGGGAGTCATCCTCACAGTTGTAAAGTAACTTTATTGTTTCCCCAGGTGATGTCCATACCAAATTGTCTCTCACTGACTTTAGCTCACAGCTTCCTCTAAGCCCTGGTATGTATCACCTGAGAAAGGCAACTTTCTAAGATGCCACCATTGACCAGAGCCCAACCAGATTTATGCTAGGCCACTTAAATCCTATTTAAAGACCGAACACATCCTTTCTATGGATTATATATTCCCCATAAGGCCTTGCCTTGCTGCATGCTAGCAACCCTGCACTCCACAAGCTCATCATACCAACCCATGGCCCTGAGTCTTTCGTGTTCCCCTCAGATATATCTGACCAGGTTTTTCTAATGCTTCTGATTTTTGAAGTATGTTCATTTTATTGATTCCTCTGGTCTACTAATCTCCTGAGTTTTTTTCTGTCTTCAGAATAAAGTTCAAAAAGGTATCTTCAGAACCTCAGACCTTCTAGCTCTTTTTCTTTCTCTTCCTGCTCTTCTATTGTCTTAAAAAAATTCAGCATCTGAAGTTAACTCTAATGATGGGAACTGCATACATAGCAAAATAATGTGTATTAAAAAGCTGTGGAAAACAGAAAAAAAAACCTTTTACTATGACCCTTGATGCCTTAGTTAGTATTGTTGTCTTTGTCCTAAAGAATGTTCTCTTATCTGCCTGGCAAACTCCTGAGGATCCACTAACACTCCTCTCCTGAATGCACATATCACATGACATTTAATTTAACAAATAATCAATACAGTTGAAAATGAGTTGAACCATTAGCACCACACTATGAGGTTAGTTGGGTGAGGAGCTGGAGCAATTCCTTTCTCTATGAAATACAAGGGTGGAATGCAACAGTGACAGCAGTAGGCCAGCCTGTTTCAGATAATAAGTTTTCCACTCTTCTCTCTCTGACCTAATATGAGAACAATAAAAGCCCACCCCCACCTCCCATCTGATAGACTCTAAAGACTGTACCTGAGGAACTTGTTGAGGTCCCCATGTTTCATGTACTCAAAGACCATAATGAGGGGGTCCCCCTCTACGCAGACACCATAGAACTTGACGATGTGTTCATGCTGGAGGTTGGTCAACAGCTCGGCCTCGCGGTGAAAATCTTTGCGCGCATTGTCACTGGCGTCTTTTAGAGTCTGAAGGAAGGGACAGAAACATGAGAAACTCAACATTAAATAGATGATGTGAAAACATCTAAAATGGAGGACAGCAAAAGGAAAGTTCTGCCAAGAAGGAATTACCAGTGTGGGCTCTGAGGTTCCTCAAGGGAAGGAAATTCATCTCCCTTATTACACAGAATATTAGTAAATGGCCAAGTTCCTGAGGAAACAAAGTTAATCTTAATCACTGAGGAAAAGTGTCCTATAAGGATGCTTTCCAGCTGGAAGCACTTACACAGATGTTCTCTCATTAAACCTTAGACAGAAGCCTTTTAGAGTCTGTCTTTCTCACCCTCATCTGAACACATGGCATTTTCTCAATTTCTGAGACCAATTGTGGTTTTTATGTGTTGTTCACTTTTGCTCATATAACTCTATAAATATCATATATGACAGAAATGTTCAGTATAAAGAAGAGCATAAATGAATGCTCATGCACCCAACTTTCAACAGATATCATTTTACAGTTCTAATCTGCCACACTCTACAAAGCCTTTTCCAATTTGTCTACACACATAGCTGTCCAGTGAGCTACAAGATGGTTGTTCACATGCCACCAAGAGGAAACCACACAGCATTCCAGCCAAGTTCTAGTGCCTTTAGCTCTTGATTCACTTGCAGGAAAATTGGGTGATATTTTATTTCACACACAGTGAGTATTTGGCTGGCTTTTGTCCTGCACCAGGAACCATGTTGTTACCAAGAAGACATAAATCCAAATTCAAGGCACACATCCTCAGGTATTACAAGTAAATAGAGAAGTAAGTTACATGTACAACTAATGTAATTCAAGTTCAGAATGCAATACTCTGGATAAACTGGCTCTCCTAAATTTTTATTCAGTTTGTTATATTAGATGTATCTGCTTCGTAGGCTAATTTCTGTTGATATATTTTAAAGTCTGGTCATAGAATACTGTTGTTTGCTGATCTCAATCTCTGTCTCTCTCTCCCGCTCTCTCCTCTCTCTTTCTCTCTCTCTCTTTCTCTCTCTCTCTCTCTCATTCTTTCTCTCCCCCTCTCCCTTTTTGTCTGTTTTTGGGCTTTGGGGGTCACAGTGAGCAGTGCTCAGAGGCAATTCTGGCTCTGCGCTCAGGAATTACTCCAGGTGGTGCTTAGGGATCATATGGGATGCCAGGGATCGAAACCAGGTCTGCCATGTGCAAAGCAAATTCCCTACTCACTGTACTATTGCCCCTGCCTAAAATCACCACTGGCTCTGCTTCAAAGTGAGTAAATTTAGGCCACTCAGTGCTCAGAGAAATGATTTGACAGAAATGACAGAAATGCTTTGTTCATAAAGCTTTATAAATGCAGATGCTGTTGAAACCGCATTTTTCTTTATTTAATAACCAAAGTGATGGAGAACCTGGGATCTGAGACTCTGTTCCATTAAAGTTCTAAAAACTGGAATTATCCCTATTCCCACTAAACTACTTTCATCCTGGCTGCAGAAGGAAGAGTGGAACATTTATCTTTGTGACTTATTTAGAAGAATTTTATCCACATTAATGTTTTTAACATTCACTCACTGCTCTTTTTTGGTGAATTTTCAAGTAGAAAAATAGCAGATGAGGCAAAAAGGTAAATATCGCCCCCCAAAAATGGAAATAATTCCCTGTCTTTACCTGATCTCAGAAAACAAAACAAATCACTGGGCATTTTTCACACTTGACCTTGCATTCTGTGCACTTTCACTACTTCTTCTGATGACAGAAATGCTTTCTGCTCGTTAATCTGTTTACCATTAACTACCCAATCCAGTGTTGAACACTAAAAGATTTCCCAATGCATTCAATCTTTTGTTTATTTGTTTGTTTGTTTGGTGGTCACACCTGGCGATGCTCAGGGGTTACTTCTGGCTCTGCACTCAGAAATCATTCCTGGTGGTGCTCAGGGTACAAATGGGATGCCCAGGCTTAAACTCAAGTCCACTGTGTACAAGGCAAATACCCTACCCACTGTACTATTGTTCTGGACCCAGATACAAAGGGCTGGAGTGATAGCACAACGATAGGGCATTTGCGTTGCATGTGGCTGACTCAACCAACCCGGGTTTGATTCTTCCACCCCTCTCGGAGAGCCCGGCAAGCTACCGAGAGTATCTCGCCTTCATGGCAAAGCCTGCCAAGCTACCCGTGATGTATTCTATATGCCAAACACAGTAACAACAAGTCTCACAATGAAGACATTACTGGGCCCTCTCAAGCAAATCGACGAACAACGGCAGGACAGTGCTACAGTGCAGTTCTAAAAGAAATGAAAAATAAGTCCTCATTTGGAAAGATAGGCCAGCAATTTAAGTGAGAAATGGAAACAAAAGGAAGGTTAGGGGAATAAGTGGGAGCATAGGTGGAGGGCTTGCTTCCTAGTGCATGTTCTCCCTGAAAATTGGTCCTACAATTGCATTAGCCTTGCATCAAAAAGCAATTGGAAGCAACAATGGAGGTTCTATGTTCAGCCTTTCTGAACTCTAGTTTCTGCCTCTATAGAATGAAGATCGCAATATGATATGTTTTACAGAGGGTCTGCATAAGTCTGTAGGTTGTAATGCCTCCCAGGTCCCTGGTAAAAGATGATATTTCAACAGTTTGAATTTGAAAGCCTGACTAGATTTGCAGACAAATTGTAGAAAGGTCAAAAAACAGTTGGTCACCCAGTGATTGAGAAAAACTGAGATAAGGCATCTGATCCCTCCCCAACCCCTACTCCACTGCAAGGCATGAGATCCTCATGCTCCTCAGTCAGCTACTCTTACCCTCCCACCAGTTCTGGAAACCTATAACATCTATTCGAGATCTTTTTTCTTTATGCAGAGTCTTTTCTCAGTGTCCAAATCAGCTCATTTTGGACCATATTTAACAGGAAGAAGGCAGTTGACACTTTTAGGTTTTCTATTACATGATGAGAACAAATTCTGTTCTCATTAGCTGGGTGGGGCAGAGCCATAGAATAGAGTAAAAGAAAAGAATTTTGGGACGGGGGAGACAGACTAGAAGTGCTAGGAAGCATCTAATATTCCCATTTCCCAAAAGCAAAACACAAAGAGAAGAGATTCTACTTTGTACAGTGTTAAAGTGCTTCAGTAAAAGTTTTGAACTGAAGAGAGAAAATTTCTCTATTCATGAGACAAATTCATCTCACAAGACTGGCGTTATCATATATGCCTGTCTATTTTTGCATGTTGGGCCCTTTTTCTATATTATGATTCAATTCTATTTTGAGCAATTCCAAAAATATGGCAGAACAAGTTGGTAAAAAATCAGCTTTTTGAATTTGGCACTCTAAGGACAAATTTTTGTAAGGGTAGAACTATAGCCAGAGAGCAATCAGAAGCTGGAAAAATTGGACTATCAATCTTGTTTATAAAAAGCATCTCTGTTTTAGAATCATGACTAATTGTCATTATACTCAGTAAGGGAAACTTGGATAGTTCCTTGGCAATGGACATGGGGGGGATTTTTTTTTCTAACAGACATTTCACTCCACTTGTTTCATTCGAATAGGCACATTTCCCTTATAACTGAACATTGCTATTTTCTCATTCCTGGTGTCTCTGCCTTATAGCTCCATTTCTTCTTATTCCTGATGATTTTCCTGACACTCCCAAACTGTCTTCCTTCCTAAAGACATTCACTAGGGTGTGATCTCATGAAGATTTAAAATGAGTTATTGCCAGTAGTTCATATTGCTTCAGAATTAGAATGGAAATTTAAAAAGCATAAAATAAACTAAAGCACAAACCTGAGAAAGTTTTGAAGGTAAAATAAAAGCAAAAGACAAACAGAATCCATAATTCATCAGAAAAATGTTAAAACAAATGAGAAGCTATAAAAAAACAAGCAAGCTTTATAATTCATTGGTATGATTGGATGTTGGAGAATATGAAAACTGATTATTTCTCCTAAAGCATATTTACTTTCAGCTTCAAAAGTAAAGATGCTTTAGGATACAAATTATCATTTTAAAATTTCTGGTTTTATGTTTTTCTTATACTTAAAATGCTTTTTAGAAACCATAGAAATAAAGGTAAGGTTAAATGTTTAAAGAGAAGAAACTATTACAACAGAGCTCACTCTACCCAATGCTTGTTACTGTTTGCTGTAGAGAACGATGAGTAAACTCTCATACAGGATATAAGAACTCGAGACTCAGAGAGTATCACTCTTTGTATACGTGTGTCTGAAATCTTTGAGGTTAGGATCACTGAGTTTGCACTTATTAATATTTGAATCTATTTTCTCTTCTCATATCTCCCACACCTGCACTATACAATCCAGTTAGCCAACAAGCACATGTAGCTAGTGATTATTTAAAAAATAATTACTTTAACTTGAGACATGCTGAAGGGAAAAATGCTTGGTTTTTTTTTTGAAAGCAAGTTTTGACTTAAATATTTCTTTTTTTAAAATATAAATATGTTGAAATATTCCTATTTGAGATATTCTGAGATAAAACATGAAGTTAGTGCTCCTCTTTATGTTTATTTGCAGTGCAGATTAGAAAAATCTTAAGATAAAATTATATGACTTGAATTTATAATCCTTATTACACTTCTGTTGGAAACACTGTCCTATTAAAAGCTACTTCAATCAGCCATTAAAGGGCCAGACTCTTCTTGAAATTGTTATAAAACACACTACACTAAAACAGAAGGAAGATAACCTTCTTATAAGGTAATGACTAACCAAATATTTTAAGCAACCATAGTTACAGGGCTGCTTAAGAAATTTTACTAAGGGATTGGAGCCATAGCATAGCGCATAGGGCATCTGCCTTGCACGCAGCCAACCCAGGTTTGATTCCCAGCATACCATACAGTTCCCTGAGCACTGCCAGGAGTGATTCCTGAGTGTAGAGCCAGGAGTAACCCATGTAGTGGGTTTGACCCATAAAGGGAAAAAATAATAAATTCTTCTAAATAAAGTTATAGAAGACTTTTGCAAAATTCTTATTATTAAGCAAACTAGTCAAGGT